TCATCACCTCAAAAACAACCAGATTAATCCCTACATCTCTACCTAGCCATTCAAATTGTTATAAGGATGAGGCGATAAATATTTAAATTCAGCACTAAAATGAAAACCCCCTGCACCATATCTTGTCATGTTTTAAGCCTCATCTAACAATATGGTGAAAAACATGTAACATCTAAAAGTTTTTGATATAAGTTATAGGTAGCATAGTTCAGAACAAGTGAGTACAAACTTGGAACAGGATCTCATCACACTCAGAGAGGGCAAGTTCCTATCATCATAACTATGTTACTTTCTGTACTGTACACTGGAGATGTGGACATTTCATTTTATCACACATACATATCAGGATATATATCATTTTTTTGGAAAAATGCATCTCTACAAAATATAAAACCACCAGAAATTTTATAGCTTTTGAAGACTAAAAAACATCTGACACATCAATTTATCTTAGCCGAATAAAAGAGAAAATGCCTACCTACCTACCCACTGTCTACCTTTGGGAGGTTTTTGGCAAACCAAAATATTTTTAAGTGTGGCCCAAATTATGAAGAATAGACATACATGTATGACATAAGTGACAATATCATGACAAAAATAAACCCCAATGACAGACAATATCTTGACAAAAACTTTCACATTTGACAAATAATCACATATGATGGATATTTTCACACCCAAAATAAACACACTTGACAAACTGTATCATGACTAAATAAACACTTGACAAGACAATATCATGACCAAAATAAACACCAATGACAGACAATATCTTGACAAAAACTTTCACATTTGACAAATAATCACATATGATGGATATTTTCACACCCAAAATAAACACACTTGACAAACTGTATCATGACTAAATAAACACTTGACAAGACAATATCATGACCAAAATAAACACCAATGACAGACAATATCTTGACAAAAAACTTTCACATTTGACAAATAATCACATATGATGGATAATTTCACACCCAAAATAAACACACTTGACAGACTATATCATGACTAAATAAACACTTGACAAAACAATATCATGACCAAAATAAACTAACACAAAAGACAGCAGTCTTTTCTTGCTTTTAAAAGTTTTATTCATATGAAAATGCAAGATTTTATAAATGTAATGAACGTCCTCACTCACTGTATGTATAATCAAAACATGGAAATAGATTCAGAGTTTATAGTTCCAGCCTGAAATTACAATAGACAAGAAATATTCCAATTCTAAAATTCATCCGTTTTTTTTTAAATCATAGTTCAGAACAAGTGAGTACAAACTTGGAACAGGTTCTCATCACAATCAGAGAGGGCAAGTTCCTATCATCATAACTACGATATGTTCATTTCATTTCTTAGCTTAAGTTAAGGTAACTGGTATAAAAGAATGAAAACAATAAATGGGGAATGTGTCCATGGGACACAGATAATGCCCCTGCTTGCATATAATGTTATCACTACAAACCAGTAAAAGTCTGAAATGGCCTATATCTGTACTCGACTGTACTGATTTTTACTAGACCAGTCTGAGTTGGTCTGAATTTTACTCGACATTACTCGACCCCAGTCTTAACCATACTCGACCGTACTAATTTGTACTTGACCCTTATCTTTGCCATTGAAAATAGTCTGAACTATTACTCGACCAGTCTGAAACAGTCTTAACCCATTCTCGACCTGTACTCGACCAATTTTTTCAGTCTAAACCATACTCGACCAAAGGTCTGAACAATACTCGACCAGTCTGAACCATACTTGACCAAAAAACCTATACTTTTTTTTAATTTTAGCTGTTAAAATTAATTTCTTTTTTTCTGACATGACAACAGCCACAATAAAATAAAGATATATATAAAAACATATGTTTACATCCTTACATGATTCTCAGATTTATCAAATAGAGATAGTTAAATTAAATTATCTTATATAATAATTTAATTATATTAATTTTAAAGTTTTAGAGTTTTGTTAAAAAAAAGATTTTCTTTTAACTAAAAACCACACCTTTACTGAGGGTAATAAACCTTATTAAGGTGCTTCTTGTTTAGAATGTGTTTTTTTTTTTTTTTAAACTTAATTTTCCTAAATTCCTAAAGAAAAACTATATAAGTTTCATGGTTACATACAATAGTTATTTAATTATCTTTTTAATGAGGAAACAACAGCCAAAAAATCAAGAAAATAAAATGGTTAAGTACTGGTCGAGTACAAGTTCAGACTGTTAAGTATGGTTCAGACCACAGTCGAGTATTATCAAGTAAATTTCAGACCAATTCAGACTGGTCGAGTAAAAATCAGTACAGTCGAGTACAAATATAGGCCATTTCAGACTTTTACTGGTTTGTAGTGTATAAAGGGACAACTCAAGAACTGTAAAAGTGACGCTGACCAAATTTGTAATTGATCTGAGTTTTGTGGTAATTAGCATTGTGTATAAGTTTCATAACATTTAGTTGAGGCAAACTTAAGTTAGAGAACAGAAACGAATATTTCAGCAATTTCATCCATTTGTAAACTTGATCTGTATTTTGTGGTAATAAGCATGGCGTATAAGTTTCATAACATTTGGTTGAGGCAAACTTAAGTTAAGAGAACGGAAACCAATTTTGGGACGTACGGACGGACGTACAGACGGACAATGGTAAAACTTAATGCCCCCTCCACTACGGCAGGGGCATAAAAATTAACTTTAACCTGATATTGAACAAGAAAAACTGTTGAAAATTACCATATCAGAGTTAAATCAAATGTTTGAGATGTGCTTTATTCTCAGACAGATTCAGATTAACTTTTCCGCACATGCACCAAATAATTCGGGTCGGAGGGTCTGAAACAGTGACATTTGGGAGGCAGGAAACAAGCATACATTTTTTGCCTAAAGTCCACATCAATGAGTCCAGTAAAAGGGGAATTATAATTATTCTAAATTGTGAGAAAATTCTAGATTAAACTTCTCCATCAACTGCTCAGATTACGTGCAAGACTGAGCACATTGGCCGATTTGACCACCAACATTTTGTAAGGACCGACACAATTTTGGTATTTTGCAATTGAAATATTAGTGGGGATCAGTAGATTTTCTTCAAGGACCACCAGAGGAAAAAAGATTTCGAGAACTCTGTTAATAGTTCTAAAATTTACAGACTATGTTGTGATGTAACACTATTGTTTCAGATAAGGGTGAAGGTTTGGTACCATTAAAACGTTTAAACCTGCTGCAATTGATTGCACCTGTCCTAAGTCAGAAATCTGATGTTCAGTAGTTGTCGTTTGTTGATGTGGTTCATAAGTGTTTCTCGTTTTTTATATAGATCAGACTGTTGGTTTTCCCATTTAAATGGTTTTACACTAATAATTTTTGAGGCCCTTTATAGCTTGCTTTGCAGTGTGAGCCAAGGCTCCGTGTTGAAGACCGTACTTTGACCTATAATGGTTTACTTTTATAAATTGTGACTTGGATGGAAAGTTGTCTCATTGCCACTCATACCACATCTTCTTATATCTATTTACAGTATTATTATTTTAAATGGTAAATATCTTAAAACTGCACCTTGAAAAAACCTACTCCAATCACGACATGTTTGTAGGCATCATCAACAACACTGTAATATCTTTCTATTAATATGAGATAATACATGCGACATCTAGCAAGTTTCTGATACAAGTTCTAAATCATACAGGTATCATAGTTCAGAACAAGTGAGTACAAACTTGGAACAGGATCTCATCACAATCAGAGAGGGCAAGTTCCTATCATCATAACTATGATCATTATGATATTAATGCCAATTCCATCCAAAGAATATTAGTCATGTGAGCCATTGATTTATAGTTTGAAGCAAGACTAAATGTTGCACTTGTTTTTCCAGCATTGAAATTCTGTACAGGTTTGTATTTGACATTGCACATGATCAAGTATTCATGCATGCCTAATGACGTTACATAAATAATATGTAATCTTCTGTGAAGTACAGCCATAGATATTACAGTTTATGAAAGATTAATATCATCATAAGTACTTTGACCTTTCTTTTTCTTTCAGTAACTGCAAGCTGTCTGCAACATTATTTATTGGACTTGTTAAAAGGTTACTGGTAAGGCCTTTTCCTGAACTGAACCTTATTGTTTGTACTTCAAATAAATTTGCTAGTCCAATGAATCATCAAATAAGGGGGGGGGGGGGAATGTCTCTGAATTCAAGATCTTGAAAGACTAGTTAGGATTTGTAAAGTGTTCAAGTACCTGCACTGTTAAAGTCAGAAATGCCATTGATATCATCTTATCTCATATCAATGAAGGCTTTTGTTATTTAGTTTGTTGTTGGCACATCTTTAAGAGTCTTAATTCTTATGACTGGGCAATTTAGAACTGGACACAATATATAGACTCCCGTCTTTTGTTCATGACTGCATGTTGTCTCATTGACATATTAACTGTGTCTCCTTTTTATTTATATATAAATAGCATTTTTGTTTGCATAAATTAAAGCAATGCAATGGTTTCTAAATTGACAGTAAACTGGAGAAAACAATCTCTTTTTCAAAACTTTTGTACTTTTCACATTATAGTTCAGAACAAGTGAGTACAAACTTGGAACAGGATCTCATCACAATCAGAGAGGGCAAGTTCCTATCATTAGTACTATCATGTGGTTGTACAGGTTATCTCCCCTTACATTTTCCTATTTCATAAGAAAATCTTCATTAAATCATTGTTTTAACCTTGATTGCAGTATTCTGAGAACCGTATAATAATTAGCATAAGATTTTTTCTTGGTATACACAGAGGGAAAACTAAATTTTATTTTTTATTTGCAATAGTTTATAGCTACATTGACAATTCTTAAAAAATGGTGAGCCCTAGTCTCTTTCTGGAATTTTATCGGATCATAAATATACTGACAATTTATACAAGGAAAGTAAGAGAGAAAATGATAAAAAATTTACTGAATGATGATTAAATTCATATCCCTGATGTTATTTAAAGACTCTTACCTCTCCTGTCAATAAATGAATTATGTCAAAAGCATGTTTAACTATTCTCATGGCAAGAAGTTTCTTGCCATTGTTTCTTCCATGCATCATCAAGGAACAGACAAGTCTTTCTACGATTGGACATTGTGCCTTTCTGAAACGTTTCATCTGGTAACGTCCAGCTGAGTGGGGCAGATATTTAGCATATTTCTCTTTGACAGCAATGTAATCCTACAAAATAAACAATTATCTAATATAACTATTTACAAGGAACAATGCATTACCAGATATATTTCATACAGCAATAACACACCTCGTCACACATTTGTTACAAAAACATAGGGTTTGCATGTGTTATAACTGCCAATATGCCCTCCTCATATATAACTGACTATAAGGTATGGGTTCAACGTTTTGCTTAATGTTGAAGGCCACACAGTAACTTACAGTTGCTTAAATTCAAGTCATTTGGACAGTTGTCTCATTTGCAATCATACCACATCTCCTTTTTTTGGTAGACCATGAAAGGATCCCATATATGGTTATATTATTACAAATAAAATTTTAAGTGAGAAATTCATGTGACAAATTTTGTTTTGTTTTAATAATTGCTGTTCCATGACTGTGAGATCCAACGACAATGGACAGTTGTCTTATTTAATATAAGCATTTATACCATATCTCAGATTATTTTATATAGACACAACTTACAGTTAAACTGATATCACTGACTTGTACATCATCAGATGACCATTTACCAAACAATTTTATCTCTGGTAGTTCTGCTACAGCAGGTGCTGGCTCATCCCAACTTTCAGCCATTCTTAAATTTTACCTGCAACAACAATGGTTTTACATTTGCTATGACCCTCTACTTAATGTTTATATTGTATACAAAGATGTGTACATAGTTATGGGGTATAAGTGTGTGATGTCCCTTTTGCAGTCAGTATAAAAAATCATGTGTTTCCGGTTGCTCAACAAACCCTTATTTATAGACTACAATCCTACCTTTAAAAAAAAAAAATGGAGAATGTGTCCATGGGACAACAGATGATGCCCTGCTTGCATAGTTATAAAGGGACATAACTAGAGAACAGTTACAGTGAGGCCATCCAAATTCAAACTTGATCTGTGTTTTATGGTGAAAAGCATTGTGAAAAAGTTTCATGACATTTGGTTGAGGCAAACTAAAGTTAGAGAATGGCTTAAAGAACCTACCCAAAGGTAGAGACAGTGGGTAGGTAGGTATGCATTTTCTTTTTTTTTTTTGACAAAGAGAAATTGAAGTGTCAGATGTTTTTTAGTCTTCATGCCTATCTGATTAAAAAAAACACTTTTTCACGTCAGGACAATAAAAGATTTTGAGGAGGCAGCTATTTTCCGGGTAGGAAGGGTTAGGGCAAACAAACATATTCTTTTTTATGGCCTGGCCTGACTGATCCATAATCCAACAAATTAAAATAAACTGCTTCGCTGAGCGCAGCTGGATACGCCCGCAGAGGTCCAACCCTGAACAGTTGGGGCAAAAATGGACACAATATTCAAGCTTGATACAGTTCTGAATTTGGATTGTAATCAAATATTTGACATATTATAGGTTTCTGAATAAATGTAGTCAAAGAACTTGAAATTGGTTATATGAATTGAATTTATATTCAATTAAAGATTTCTTGCTGTTGTGCATACACTGTGCTGTTGCGCAATACTTAGTAAATCTGTTGTCAGACTATAAACAAATAAAGTTCAATTAATTCTCAATGTCATATTAGAAATTTATGAAAATGTAAAGGGAGCTTACATCAAAAGATATAAACAATTCACCAAAGTTTCATGAGAATTGCTGACAGCATTTTTGAGTTATTGTCCGAAAACTGGAAAATCCCCCCTTTTATAATGAATAAAACCCCATAACTCAGAAATGTAAAATGTAAAATTTATAAAATTCTAAACGGAGCTTACATCAATAGATATAAACAATTCACCAAAGTTTCATAAGAACTGCTGAAAGCATTTTTGATTTTTTGTCCGAAAACCGGAAAATCCCCCTTTTTTTATGAATAAAACCCTGTAACTCAGAAACGTAAAATCTAAAATATATAAAAATCAAAAGGGAGCTCATGTCAATAGATATAAACAATTCACCACAATTTCTTGCAAGTTGGTGAAAGCATTCTTGAGTTATTGTCCGAAAACTGGAAAATCCCCCCTTTTTTAATGAATAAAACCCCATAACTCGGAAACGTAAAATCTAAAATCTATAAAAAACGAAAGGGAGCTCACGTCAATAGATATAAACAATTCACCAAAGTTTTATGCAAATTGGTTAGTGTTTTTGAGTTAATGTCTGACATGTTGACGACGGACGGACAGACGGACAACAGTATACCATAATACTTCCCGTAAACGGGCGTATAAAAACCTGGCCCAATATTTCAGAATATCGTAAAACTTTATAGGATTTTGTGATTCCTTTTTTCCCCCTTTCCGCTCAAGACACAGGATCCCAATCGGGATTCTGTGTTTGGAGTGTTTTTCTTAATTGGTTTTTTCTGAATGAGTTATACTGATTTCAGCGTAGACGACGTCATCAAACTATCAGTTCTTACTGTGATGCAATAACATAAGCATTGTGACATCTGGAAATTATGGGAAAGTGCATGAATTCGAAAGTAGTCTATTTGGGAAAAACTTTGCTAACTACATGTACCTCACCAGTGCCAATTACGCCTACAGCACAATTCCGTACATCCATGAGGTAGTTGGATAATTTTTCCCTCAAATAGACTAAATAAGGGATTATGAGCAGGACCTAATCATAAAGGCACCGACTTCGATTACCTGCAAAAAGTAGCAATAAGAAATGATTATTGTGGTCAAACAATGTTCTTCTTCAAGTTGGAACGAATTGACCAAGCAACTTCAGACGAATTGCTTAAAGGGAATAGAAGACACATGTGGTTCATCTCAACTGATAAAAGGTTGTAATAGGTACTTGTACATACGGAACCGTGGCTGATATTTACCTCTAGTTTTTTTTTTTGCATTTGCTAACCATAAATTCGCATATACAAAATGGTACCAAGAGCTACGGTTCCGCAGATATATGTAACAGGTTACCTAAACAATATTTGGAAAGTGGTCCAAGTAAATTGATCTTTTCGACATTTTGGAGATAGTAATCGAGATGAATAAACATTACTTTTCATATCAATTATATTTGTTGTGTTTTTTTTTCTTAATTTATTGGAAGAATTGGCATTTTGATGTAATATTTTAAAGAGAAGCATTTCATGCTTCTTACCCCGTGGGTGAGCGGAAGTGTAAAAGACCGGAACGGGGTTTCCTCATTGATTGCACGGGTTATTTTGAAAATAACTTTAGAGTCAACTCGGGAAAATATTCCGGATTAAAATGTATGCGTGTTCATTTTAATTTTTAATGATGTAGGAATGAGTAACAGCAAACCAATAAAATAGCCTTTCGAGACGTCATAATTATTTGGACCAGATTATTAAAAATAGATTTTTTTTTTTTGGGGGGGGGGGGGGGAGGGGGGGTCAGTTAAAATATTCGACTTGAGAAGATGCCTCACAAACCATAGTTCTACTTCTATTTGGATAATCTACAGTAGGTGAAAAACAACAATGATTTAGCAAACTGTATAATAGTCCCAGAGAATAATGAGGGGCAAGAGTATACAAAACACCTGTGGAAATAAAAGAATTAAGTAATATAATACTGATTACAGAAATGATAGACGTACAGCTAGAATAAAGAACTGACCATCCAATAACAGAAATATCTCATAGTAAAATCATTTTCAAGAACATTATACAGAATAAGGGGGTGGGGGTGGGGGGGGGGGTTGAAATTTCATGTCTTTGGAAAGGGGGGTCTTGAATTTATTTTCCCTCCTCAAGGTGGGGACTTGAAAAAAATATCTAAACCCTCTATTATGTTCCAGCCGATATAGACCTCGAGAATACTACTGAGTGACATGACACTATGCTACTTATCAGTTTATTATTTCCTTTCAATGTATTTTAAAATCTATTTTCTTTTTACATAAAATCGACTCTTAGGGAATGGCCCCCTTTTTCTAAATATTTTTGAAAATAATAATAGAGGGCAAAATTTTATTAAGTACTGTTATTGTAATATCTTGTGAAAAGAGCAAGAATACATTAAATAATTGAAAATAAGTTAAAATATTACAGAATATTTACTAAAAAATTAAAGCACAAAAGAAGATATTTCATAGAAAAGGGGAGGGGGTCAATTCCCCAAGCTGCTCTGCTCAACGGGTAAATAGAATAGTGACACGCTTCTCCTAAGGTCTCAAACATTTATCAGCTGTTATAGGTATCGTATTCAAATTTTAAATGTTTGATTTATATGATATTTTGTATTAAAAAAACTGTGACTCGAAGAAAAGATGTGATGATTTTCAATTTGTGCAATGTAGTTTGACTACATATCATTGCGTCTCATGACGTGACTTCGTGTATATAATATACATGATTTAAGAGATGTGATGCAACCTATATGAAAAGATAAGAGTTTTTCATGCTTATTTCGGGTAAAATATTGATATGAACTGTATGCATCTGGACAAAAACATGCACCATGATTTTTTTGTATGCTGCTAGAGATCTGTGACAATGTGGCCTTATATTATGAATCTATCATGAATGCCGTCAAGCGATTGTATAATATTTTTGCATGTTTTATTAATTATTTGGACTTATAGTCTTGTTTCTTGAAAAGGAAGTCATTTACATATTATATTACTAACAAGATCTAACAAGTTGCCATACTGTTGAAAAAAACAAGTTGCCGTACTGTAAATTTGTCAACTGTAACTTGCCGTACTCTATGAGCTTGATTTAATTGTTTTCACCTATATTTTTTTAAAAACATTATTTTCATTTTGGTAGAGAACTTCAGAGAATATGATCTCACACTGTCATAGTCTTAGAATTTGTCTGGAAAAGGAGTGGAAAAACAGTTTCAATATCTGGCCAGCGGGGCGACGAAGGACGACCGACCTCAAAATTGTCAGGTACCAAGTGCACACAGTTTTGGAGTATAGCACAAAATCTTTGCTTTGTTTCAGTACTTGTTGGCTGAAATTCTTACCTTGTTTTTTTTTATCACTTCGGGGTTACTCAATTTCCGGTGGCGATACTGTTATTGAATTTAAATTTAATTTACATTTCGATTTCATGGTCATATTTCAAGTTCACCCTTTTGGTACGATTCCGATGATGTTGGTGTATCTCATAGCACATATTTCTTATAGCTGTGCTTTGTATATCTTCATTCATTAGGGTCTGGATGGGGAGTCCTTAATTTCTGTATTTTTTTTAATTTTAAGGGCATTTTTCGTTATTATTCTTTAAGAATAACGCTTATTCTGTAAAATTCTGTTCTGTAATAAGATTATTCTGCACATCCTTCTCAGTGTTCTGTTATCAGTATTGCAGAAACTAATTATTTTATTTCCACAATTTTCTTTCTACTTTTGCACCCTGTTATGCTCTATTCTTGATTTTATATTATTTTTCATTACTTTTTGGGCCATTATTCTCTTTTCTGAAAACCCCATCTAGACCCTCAAATATTTTTGTATGACAGTCAATGTCTTTGCTAGTACGGTTCATAATAAACCGAAGGAGTTTGCCCTCGTTTATAATGTTCTCAAACATCGATGCGTCTACCTCATCTATTATGTCTTATCTTAGAGCAGTTTTTTAAAATTTAATTTGTTCCATTTCCGCACAATATAGAGTAAAATGTTCCGGATCTTTACTTGGAGGCTGCTTACATATCGAACACAAAGGTTTATTCCTCTTTTGTTTATTGTCTCTTTTGGCTTGAAAAAGATACTGTTGGGTAGTTTATTCTCCTGTCATAAAATCTCTTATATTTTTTTTTAACACTTTTCCAAATATTATATATATGGGATTTTCCTGAACCTCCATATATATTTAATGATGTTTTGTCCGTATTTTTTCTTGGTGACATTTATTTTTTCCAGTATTCATTAATCTTATAATCCCTATAAATGTTTTCTCTTCGATTTTCTTAGTTGAATTTTCTATGTAGTAGCTACATGACTTCAGGTTGTATTTGGAAAGAGTTTTTTCCCACTCGGTTAATAAAATCATTTCCTGCAAGGCCAGCAAATGCTATATGTGTTTGGGTCGAGTTCCATATTATGGTTCCTCTGTTTCTGACAATATTCACAAAGAAGGGAAGTAAGTTTTTCTCTGGGATGATATCTTTGGGTTCTACTCCTGCTAGTATTTCTTATCCTTCGCCATCAGGTTTATAACCTCTAGTTCATACACCTTGAGTAGGTTTATAACCTCTAGTTCATACACCTTGAGTAGGTTTATAACCTCTAGTTCATACACCTTGGTACTGCACATGTTTTCCATAGTTTATATGCTACCATTATTCAGGTGGTGGTGCATAGAGGGTGTACGCCACCGTTTGATCGGAAATTGTTGTGCTTAAAATCGTCCAACAAAAAAACATTTCTGACAATTACGCCACCTTTCCACGGAGCCAAGATGCGCTCCTTGTTTGAAAAACCATTTCTTACGTAGAAGATCATATCTAGTTGCCATACCAGTGCTCATTCTTTGGGAAATATCTACCCGTTTTGCTCATTTAACGTTTTATGTTGCAATGCATGTATCTGGGTCATTAAAAAACCAATTTCGAATTTTCGGCACACCTAGGCTAATTCTTTTTTTTTTAATGTAAAATACAGTTGTAAGTGTTTAAATGGAAATTTATAGTATTTGTGAGTCTATACACCAATAATAAACACGATTTAGATCTATTTTGGTAAGATTAAAATTATACTTAAGTCCGATTTTTGCGTACTTTATGTGCGTACAGTGCTAGGGTAACAAATTTAAAATGATTTTTCTTGTTTTCTGATTGCCCTGAAAAGAACTATTTTAGAATAGAATATTTTTGATAGCTCTTACAAAAAAATCACAGTTTCTTCTTATTCTATGCGACATTTTTCCTACATACTAAATTCAATTGGCGTACTGCATGAAATGCATGTCTATCCCGTATCCGATACTATTGATTGATTGATTGATTGATTGGTGTTTAACGCCACTTTGTACACTGGGTGCGTTCAGAGAAGTTATGTTGTATACCAATCAACTGGTGGTGACTACTTTTACTGTTGGTACCAATGGTTGCCCTATTAACTCTGAACGGAATAACCTTCTGCCGCTGGCAATACAATTACCATTGTCACAAATGGACGAACAAAAGTAATGGTGTACCAAAAGTAATAATAGTGTACCATAAGTAACAAAGGTGTGCCATAGGCACCAGATGGTAATCAAAGGTACCACACGCTCTGCCAAATGTACGAATGACTTGACAGAGGCTACCGATGGCATATGAGAATTAAGAAATAAAATAAAATGTCAAAACAATGCATTCCAACCCTTATTAAACAACAACAAAATACAAATTATACGTTAATGCATAGTGCTTTCTACCATTTGATGTCTACTGATGGATTTCTACATAACTCTGAAGAAAGAAGAAGTTCTGAATCAATTTCACGGATTGAAAATAACTATGAGTTGACTGTTCCGCGATATTCTCTTGATGATTTTAAAATGCATTTTAGATTGACACGAGAGACTTTTGAAAGTACATGTTCACAGATTTCCCGTCAAATTGAATTTAATAGACAGAAAAAAGGTACAACACCAAAGGTACAAAAAGAGTTACTTATGTTTCTATGTTACATTGGTAACATGGAGAGTTTCCGTTCTATGACAGACAGTATGGTACATCAAAAGGCAGCTACCATGCAAGCATAAAACCAATGTCATCAGTACTGGGCAGTGTGATGCCAGAAGTAGTAAAATGGCCGAGTACCCCAAAGGAGTTTAATACAACAAGAGGACAATTTAGCGAAAGATCACAATTGCAAAATGTAATTGGTGCTATTGATGGATGCCATATTCAAATCAAAGCACCTAAACATCAACCACATGCATACTTTAACAAAAAAAAGTTCTATTCTATTGTACTTTTAGGATATTGTAACTCAAAGATGGAGTTTAATTATGTGTGGACGGAACCCTGGTAGTACCCATGATGTTCTTGATGAAGAACCATGTGATGATGATGAAGAGAAAGACACCAATTACAATGAATCCGTAGAAGACAACAACTAATGAACCAACTCGTAAATGTTCGATCAAACAAATCTATATAGGAGATTTAAGATCAGGACAACACAATACATTTTTTTTATTATTTTAAAAAAGAACATACAAATTGTAATATTTTTCTCTTTAT